TTGCCGCCGTCGCCGCTTCGTCGCCGTTCGTCGCTTGGGACTGTCTGCAGATGTGGCGGCTATGGTGCCGCCGTCGCCGCCCCGTCGCCGCCTCGTGGCCGCCCGTCGTCTGGGTCTGTCTGTCAGTCTGACGACTACGTCGCCGCCTTCGGCGCCCCGTTGTCGCCCCGTCGCCGTCCGTCATCTGGGCCTGACGGCCGGTCTAGCATCTATGTTGCCGCCGTGGCCGCCGCCGCCCAGTCGCCGCTTCGTCGCCGCATAGAGTGCGCACCGCATAGATTCTCCCTTTCTACAGGAATATTAGTTTCCCCCCCTCTGGGATTATCGACCTCCCCTTAGGATTATTCAGTTTAATTCTGACTCTGCACATTCGATCGTCTCACGCTTTAAATTCATAAAGTCCCAACCCAGCCAGTATCGGTCCCCCCCGCCATCCCTGTCAAATGACACTTTGCGCGCACATTCGTTTATCACAAACCACAAATATCCAAACTTATCCTGGCGAAGGACCCAACCTTATGCAGTTGTGGGTACCGCAATTGTGAACAGTTTCTTTTGTGAAGCTCCCTATGGGGCCACGAAGCGCTGCACTGGGTGGGGGGGAGCGCATGCGGGCGGTAGCACTGGTGCCGTCGGTGGAGCTCTCTATGGGGCCACGAAGCGATGCATTGGATGGGCGAAGGCGCCAAATTGGGTGTTTGGGACGCGCGCGCGCGCGGTCCCACTGGGGGCTTCGGTGGAGTTCCCTATGGGGTGCGCACGGGCGAACTGAATGGGGGTTTCGGTGGAGCTCCCTATGGGGCCACGAAGCGCTGTACAGGGCGTGTGAAAATGCCAAATTGGGTTTTCGGGGTGCATGTGGACGGTCCCACTGGGGGCTTCGGTGGAGCTCCCTATGGGGCCACGAAGCGCTGTACTGGGTAGGTGAAAATGCCAAACTGGGTTTTCGGGACGCATGCCGGCGGTCCTACTGGGGGTTTCGGTGGAGCTCCCTCTGGGGCCACGAAGCGCTACACTGAGTGGGGGGGAGCGCATGCGGGCGGTAGCACTAATGCCGCCGGTGGAGCTCCCTATGGGGCCACGAAGCGATGTGTTGGGCAGGTGAAAACGCCAAATTGTGTGTGTGGCGCATGCGGGCTGTCTCAGTGGGGGTTTCCGTGGAGCTCCCCATGTGGCCACGAAACGTTGTATTGGGTGGATGAAAATGCCAAGTTTGGTTTTCGGGACACATGCGGACGGTGGCACTGGGGCCATCGGTGGGGCTCCCTATGGGGCCACGAAATGCTGTACTGGGTGTGCGGGACGCATGCGGACGGTAGCGCTGGGACCTTGTGGGGCTCCCGATGGGGCCACGACGCGCTGTACTGGGTGTGCGGGACGCATGCGGCCGGTGGCACTGGGACTTTCGCTGGGACTCCCTGTGGGGCCACGAAGCGCTGTACTGGGTGGGTGAAACGCAGAGAGGGAGGAGGGAGGAGGGGGAGAGAGCAGGGAGGAGGAACGCGGGGCACCGTCTCTTCAAAACGAGGACCCAACACCACAGGATGGTTGGGAAATACTTGGCGCAAAAATGGAAACAAAACGCGCGCGCGCGCCTCATGGAGACTTTTTGGGAGGCCTCTTGGAGGCCTTTTGGGCCGTCTTGGAGACGTCTTGGGCCGTCTCGGGGTCAGCTTTGTCGTCTTGGGTCGATGTCTGGGCGTATCGGAGCCCGCTTGGGTTGTCTTTAAGACCTCCTGGGGCCCTCTTGGCTCGTCGTGGGGTCGTTCTTGGGCCCGAAAAAGTAGTGCGACAAGCCGCGGGGGAGCCCAGTGCACGCGACAAGCGCCAGAGGGCATGCGAAAAGGCCTGGTCGATTTGAGAATTCTCGGCCGTGTCCCTTAGGACTGAAGACAGAGGCTCAGATGATGAGGCAAAGGACTTGAGGACACGCCCACTCCGTATCCAGAGACACGGTGGCGGATATTCTTTTCAAGTGATGCGACGGGAAATACGTCTACCCCATCTTTCGCACGATTTGTACGAGTCGTATTACGAGTCGTACCAAGATCTATCGGAAGTGCGAGTGGCCCGCGCCCCAGCCACGAGCCCACCTGCAGTCCGTCAAACGTATGGTCGGCGGCAACTTGGCTTTAAACCGCGGCGGGCCAGCGTGGGATGCACCAGTGACTACTTGGGCACAGCAGGGGGAAGGAATGGCGCGACAAAGGGGGAAAATATGCCGCGGGCTGCGGCGCACCCTCAGAACATGAAGTTCTTGCGCGAGCGTGCCGCAGCACAGGCTTGCACGGGCAGCAGACAAGAGCAGGGAGGCGACAGTCTGCCAAACGCTTCAATCGTAACGTATCCACCGAGCTGGCCAGTCAAGTGATATTGATAGTAGTTAGCTTCTTGCCTGGCCGCATGCTACACATCGGATGCGCACGCGCACGCGCGCGCACACGCGCGCACGCGCACACGCACGCGCGCGCGCTTAAGATCGAGCTCGTTCTCTGGCCTGGGCCCCGGGCTCGGGCTCGGGTCGGGCTTCGTCTCAGGCTCGTGCTCTGGCTCGGGTTCGGGCTTGTGCTTAGGCTCGGGCGGGAGTGGTCCTGTGGGTAGTCCTGTGGCTGTCCGGTGGGCTGCCCCGCGGTGGCCTCGCACATGTCTCCCGCGGGTTGCTCCGCGGCTGTCACTGGGTTGTCCCGAGGTGGTCCCACGGGCATCCAACTGGTTCCACATGCACGTACGTCGGCGAATGATTGCGTGTATTGGTGAACGCTTGCGCACGCACAAACGCACGTGGATTTGCATGTGCGCACTCGCGCATGTTGGTACCCACGAGGCCACTAAAAACATCTACCCAGGACGGTGGCCAGACAAAGCGTATCCACGTCAATGGCGCGAAGACCTTAGCCATCCCGGTAGCCGCGGCGCATGTCCCAGCTCGTGTAGAATATGTGATTCTGTACGCCGCCCCGCTCCTGGCCGCCGTGCCCTCGCGGAATCAGCTTTGAACCAGTTGCAGGTGACTTGGGGCCGTCGCTTATTACAAGGGGCCGCCAATTCGCCATGCAGTGGTCATCGCCCAATGTTGTTGGCCCATGCGCTTGGCCCATTCACGGGTACCGGGTACCCATGCGGCGCTGTTACTTCGTCAGGGAACGGCAAGGGCAGCTCCGTGAGCTCGGCGAGGACTGTGTCGGGCCGCCGCCCAGTGGCGACAACGCAGGGCGGGTCTGCAAGCAGCGGCGAGACCTGGTTCTGGATGGTAAGGATCCGAAGACCAGGAAGAAGTGTTCCGATGATTTTTGGTGTGACCCTCGGCGCAGGCTGCGCATTAAGGGGCGCTTGGGCTTGGCCCGCCTTGGGTCGCCTGCCCTGGTGGCGTTGCCGGGGTTGCCCCGAGGCCGCCTGTCTCTCAGTTTGGTCTTCTGCATTTATTTGCGCTGCACTTATGTGCATCTACCTTCGCCGCGCGCTGACGCAGCAGTGTGGCAGCGTTGCACGCGAGTGCGTGGTGCTCGGTGACAATGCGGTCGGGTCCTCAAGCAGAGGCGAGACCTGATCCTAGACGGCAAGGATCCGAAGTCCAGGATGACGTTTTCCCTTGGCCGATGGCGTGACCCTCGGCGCAGGCTGCGCTGCAACAAGGGGGCCCGTAGGCTTGGCCTGCCTTGGGTTGCTTGCCCTGGTGGCGTTGCTGGGGTTGCCCCGATGCCGCCTGTTTCTCAGCCTGGTCGTCTGCGTTTATTGGCGCAGCATTTGTTTGCATCTACCTGCGCGCCGCGCACTGACGCAGCTGCGCGGCAGCGTTGCAAACGAGTGCGTGGCGCCCGTGGCCATGTGGCTTATTGGCGCTGTGGCGCCTCATTTCCTTGTGCCTCATATCACTTTGTGGCTTGCGCAATTCAGTAACTATACTCATCGCAAGTCTTGCTGATGTGGTAGATTTCGGTTGTTGGTTTGGCGCGTGTATCGTATATGCGCGCTTCACGTGATCTCTGCTTCACGCTCCGCGTGACACGACAACTTGCTTGTCCGCCGTGCCCCGCGCCTTGTCGGGCCTTGTGGCCTGGCGTGGCTGCGATGCCCGTGGCGCGGCCCGATCGGGCCGAAGGGCTTCGTCGCGGCGGCCCTGGTTGCTGCGCGCGCACAGCTTGGCTGCGCGCGTACTGCGTCGAAGAATCAGCCGCGCACGCCGGCACGCGCACGCGCGCACGCGCGCGGGGCGCAGCCTCCCGCACGGCGGCTCGAGAGCCAGCTCGTGGGAGCCGCAGCACCGCGAGCCTGCGCTGCCAGAGATCGATGCGGCGGCGGACGCCCCAGCCCGCATAGCACAGACAGCAGCGAACTCACACGCACACGCGCACGCACACGTGCACACATCCACACACACGCGCACACACACGCACACGCACACACGTTTACACAGACACACGCGCACACACATACGCGTACACAGACCACGCGCAACATGTGACAAGGGCTGCCGCAGTCAACCACTCGACTCCAGCTACCACTGGCAATCATCTGGGCACGTCGGCGAGCCCAGCGACTGCACGCCATATGCAAGCATGCCTGTTGGGTGCAAATCCATGCGACCGTGCGCACGCAAGCTCAAAGAAGCGGCACTACCTGTTCTTGTGCAGATACGTGCTGCGGAGCGACGATTCAAGCGTCATTGCGCCATGACGGTCCTATCTAAGCGAAGAGTGGTCGACGAGAGACAAGGTGAGTGCAGTGTGGCTCATGACGTGAGGAGGAGGAGACGGAACGGGGAGGAGTAGAAGAAGAATTGTGGCGGTGGTGGTGTTGTTGGGGTGGTGTTGGTTGTGGTGGTGGTGGTGGTGGTGGTGGGGGGGGGGGGGTGAGGAGGAGGAGGAGGAGGAGGAGGAGGCGGAGAAGGAGGAGGAGGAGGTGAACGGGTGGAGCGAGCAGTGGGGCGTGCGTGGGCGGCGGCGTGACCTCAATCCTGGATTCGGGACGGCGTCGCCCGCCCCCGCGCACGCTGGCGAGAGGAACATCGACGTCTACTCGTATTACTTCGTCGACGTGACCGCGGGGCCCTCGGCACGGCAGCGGGGCGGTTCGGGTCTCTCTCCCTCCTCCTTCTCCTCCTCCTCCTCCTCCTCCTCCTCCTCCTCCTTCTCCTCCTCCTCCTCCTCCTCCTCTCCTCCTCCTCCTCCCTCCTCCTCCTCCTCTCCTTCTCCTTCTCCTTCTCCTCTCTCCTCCTCCTCCTCCTCCTCCTCCTCCCTCCTCCTCCTCCTCCTGCTCCTCCTCTTCTCCTCCTCCTCCTCCTCCTCCTCCTCCTCCTCCTCCTCCTCCTCCTCCTCCCTCTCCTCCTCCTCTGCTGTGCTTAGTGCCCGGCGCGGCCCGCGGGATCTGCAGGCGCGCTTGCGACCGCCAGCGCTGCCGACAGAAGCAGGGGCCAGGGCGGGGTGTCGTCGGCCCGTCGACGGCCCGGGCGGTGCTCGCAGCCGGTTGCGCCCGTGGCCTGGGCCGGAGGAGGAGGAGGAGGGAGGAGGGAGGAGGGAGGAGGGAGGAGGGAGGAGGGAGGAGGGAGGAGGAGGAGGGAGGAGGAGGAGGAGGAGGAGGAGGAGGAGGAGGAGGAGGAGGAGGAGTAGGGAGGATAATGAGGGAGGAGGAGGAGGAGAGGAGGAGAGGAGGAGGAGGAGGAGGAGGAGGAGCTGTCCGGGCGCTGCGTGCGCAGCTGGCCCCCCGCTCTTCCCGAGGGTTTGCCCGTGGCGGGGCGTCGGCGGCCCGTCGGCGGCCTTGGGCAGGACGTGGGCGGGAGCGTCGGCGGCCTCGACCGCTGTCTGGGCCGAGCGTGCGCTGCTAGCCCCCCCCCCTGTTCCTCTAGACCTGGGTTCCGGACGCATGTGGTCGGAGGATTGCTCCACATCGCCGATGCGTCGACAATGCAGCTGGATGTGGGGCCAGAATCTCGCAATGCAGATGGCGCCGATATTCGGACCTCATCTGGGAGGCCTCTGCTTCCCGAGGATCTGCCTGGTGGGTCGGACGAAAAGGGTGGGCGGGGAAAGGGGGGATTACGAAATCTGCTGCGTGCAGCTGGTTTCGGCCCTGCCGCTGAGCGGCGTGGCGTCCTGAATACGTTGGCGCCCCCCACTCGCTAACACACACACACACACACACCCAGGCAGACGCTGCAAGTTAGTGGGTATTCGAACGCAGGCGTGCGCAACCAATTAGATAACTTATTGTTGGACTACACAATCAGACCATGTATGTCATTTTGTGTAAAGTTTGCGATTGACTAGATAAGGGGTTCTGACCACAGGGCTCTCGGATTGAACTGGGCGCTGGGGTGCATGACGAAGCCCGAAGAGAAAAAACACAGCAAGCATTGTAGTCGCACGGTGTGCAGGGCAGTATACAGGCAATTATCAGATTCGCAGACCGATGACAATGCAGAGCACGAGGGTGCAGTTTCAGATAAGTCTGGGGTTTTGAGAGAGGCGTTTTCGAAGAAGACCCCGCAACGCAGCTCGAACAGCGGGGATGAATAATTACAGGCGTTGGTTGCTGAGCGAAGGAGCTTACGACGCAGCCAATCCGTTACCGCCGAACAGAAGACGATCCGAAGATTGGAGCTCAGCAGGAAAATCAAGAGGCTCATCCAAAACAACTCAGGGACCAGAAGGAAAAAACCATAAGCAAGACTTTGGCATATTTTCGCGGGAAACCTGGAACTGCACGAGTGGGTAGCGCGAAAAAGAAACAGCTTTTTGCATCCGTGCGCGACGAATCTAAGGTGGAGCAGTTCGGTAATAACGGCATTGCTTCAGTATTTGGTCGCTTCTACGAGAACTGTTTCAAAGGGGCTCGGCAAATCGGACATCAACAATGCACAGCATTGTTCTGGAACGCAGAAGTTTTAAGGCGGATGCGCTTGAAGCAGCATTGGAAGTTATGAAGTGCGGAAAAGCGAATACCAATCTTGAATATTCGTCGAGCTGTTGAAGACGTCTAGCAACCGCTTCCAAGACAACGTTCTAGACTGATTCGACGATGTCTTTGGCCCGAGCGCCGAAAGACCAGAGATCAGAGAACAGGCCGCAGCTGATCACCAGCTCAGGTCGGTCCCTGGGCCAAGCTTGGCGCAGCAACGGCTACGCAATCGTGGACCACATAACGGCCATGACCTTTCTCACAGAAGGTTGCGCTGAATGGAATCCAATGTTGTTGTGGGCCCACAGGGGGCCAGGCTATCTGGGGGCACTGCCCACGTCAGAGCCAATCCCAGTACCTCCACGGGGTGCTTGAGGGATATCGGAGGTCTTCGGATTTTCCGACACCCGTCTCCGAGAACGAAAGTTGGGATCTGATTCCTACATGTCTTCTTTTCTCAGAAAGATGGGCAAGGCACGCGCTGCGGCAGCTCGCGGCCCGCGCGCCTGGTCCAAGTGATCTACTGTCAGACATGTGAGTACAACGACCAGCCCCCGCTGGCTGACTGTCGATGCCGTGGGTGCACCAGGAGGGTGCACTTGTACAAGCCTCTCTCCCGCTCGACCAGCGTCGACAGCGGCAAGGGCTTTCGCTTCGACACTTCTGGCAATGGCGGCCAGGGCACGAGCGGAGGCCAGAGCCGTCAGCAGCAGGGCGGCAGCGACAAGCAGGAGATCTCGCCGCTCATCGCGCAGGCCTTGGCGCAGAGCGACGACGACCCCGAGCTCCAGGTGGCGCTCAGGGCCCAGAAGGCGAGGCTCGAGGCGCAGAAGCCTGCTGTCACTTCGGACGTCGACCAGGTGGAGCGGGCCGACGGCGCCTTCAGGTCGGCCAAGAATCGGCACGATCAGCTAATGCAGCAGGTGGTTCGGATCCAGGAGCAGCTCGGCACTGCGCAGGGCAAGGGGCAGGCGGCGGCGCTCGACTTGGCACGCGCCGACGCCCGACGCCGCCCGCAGCGCCGCTGCAGCCGCCCTTGCGAGGGCCGAGGGCTTTCAGGGGCAGAAGCCCGCCACCGAGGCTTCGGAGGAGCCCGCCGCTTTCGGCGTGAAGCTGAACGACGAGGTCTTCGCCGCGTTCGAGACTTGGGATTGCGAGGAGGCCGACAAGGCCAGACTCAGGAAGCTCAAAGAGGAGCTCGACAGTTATCGTTCGACCTTCAAGCAGAAGGATGACGAGTGGAAGCAGTTCATCGACAGGCAAAGAAGGCCCATGAGGAGGTCAAGGCTCGCATGGCCAAGAAGCGCAAGGGCGCCGACAGCCAGGCGGCATCGACCAGCGAGGCAGCATCCCCACCAGCGGCGCAGGCGGCGAACGCCGAGAGCTCGCCAGCCGCGGGCGCCGCTTCCCCCGCCACTGAGGGGGAGCTCAAGGAGGAGGCCGCCCGCCTGTCGCAGGCCAGCTTCGCGGCGGCCCAGCAGGCCGGCAGCGGACCCGCCGACTCGGGGCAGGGCACCTCCAAGGTGCAGGGCCAGGGCGCGCTTCCTGCCGACGGTGCTGCTCGCAAGAGCTCGGCCGCTCCTCGACTAGAGACCTCAACGAACACGAGCTGTGCGTCAACTACACAGCTCCAGGGGGTGAGCAGGACCAGTACTGCTACAACGTCATCTCTGGGTTCAGCAATTTCAGCAAGTGCCAGTACTTGCACGACGCAGACATCAGCCTCTGGGGATGCCGATGTCACCAGCGCACTCAGCCTAGAGGAGGAGGCGACCTCGTCCAGGCTCTTCTTCAGCAGCGTCACCTGTCTCAGCGCCAAGGTGATGGGCCACTTTCAGACCATCAGGGATCGGATCGACTATTTTGCACTATGCGAGGGCCATGCGATGCACCACCAGAGTCGCAAGTGGCAGATGGAGGCGCAGTCCTACTCCCTGAAGTGTTACGAACGCAGCGAGAGGGAACACCAAGTGGCGCAGTCGGGGCTGCGAGACCTCGAGCGAAGGAGGAGAGGCGCTGTTCTGCAAGAACCTGCCCGTGCAGATGCTGGGCGCTGCGGTCGCGGCTCGCGGCCTTCGCGCTGACGCCAGCTCGGCCTTCGGCGGGTTCTTACCAGTCGTTTTGCACTTAAAAGGCTATTCTCTAGCAGTCATCAAATTCTATCAACAAGCGTCCATAGGCTTCCGTGATCAGAACGTGCCTCGTTTTCGGAACCTTGCCAGTCTTCTCGCCATGTTTCGCATTTCATGGCTGGTGATAGGCGATTGGAACATGTGCCCCACGTCGCTCGCTCGCACGGGATTTCTCGAGCGCGTCGGGGGGGGGGGTCTTGTGTAGTCCCGCTGAGTTCACTTGCCGTCATAAGGGGCTGCAGGGGGGGGGGGGTCCCATCTTGATTGCGTTGTCTTGTGCCCGGCCGCTGGCTGTTACGTTCGCAGTGTGCAAGCAGTCATTGACGTCCCTGGGAGACCTCATCGCAGGCCCGACCTTGAGTTAGTTGGCCCTTCAGGGCACCTCTTCACGAGGCTTCTTAAGCCCTCAGCGAAGCTCCCTCAGGTCTCCCGCCCCGCGCGCGAGTTCACAAGTGGCTCCGGGCCGCAGGCCAGCAAGGCGAAACGCGTTGCAGCTGTCGCTTTAGCTTGAGAGAAACGCAACTCTAAGATTCAAGAGTGGTTTGGAGAGAGTCTTGCCAGCAGTCGGCAGGAAGGGGCGGACAGCCATAAGGAGACAGGCGACGAAGGTTTCGCCCCAGATTCCTCCAGCTGCGTCCTCGACCGCGGCTGGGGCGACACCTCCGAGGCCGACCCGCGGGCCGACGGGGCGAACTGGCCCGCGCCGCCCGCCTCAGGGGGAAGGAAGGGATCCTCTCTACATTCAAGGGACCAAGCAAGAGCAGCCAAACCCTCGCACCGAGTTTCATATGTCCCAGGCGGTGGGCTCGGGTTGTCCGCGAGGAAAGAGATCGGGTTCGCCCCGAAGACGGCTTGCGAGCCTGGGCCCACTGCGTCTCAGTCCGTAGCTTGTCGGATCGGTGCTGAGGTCCAAGTTTCGTCATCCACTGCCGCGCTTTATTGTGGCTGGGTTCAGTCTGTGGAGGCTGCGATCTACGAGCATCATCAGCAGGGCCCCCCTGTTTTATACAACAA